CCAGAACTAAGGAGACACTAGCCACAGGCCACTTCATGAGTGTCATCAACATTTTGATGCAGCTGCGAAAAGTCTGCAATCATCCAAATCTGTTTGACCCTCGACCTGTTACCTCCCCCTTCATCACCCCAGGCATCTGCTTCAGCACCGCCTCACTGGTGCTGAGGGCCACTGATGTCCACCCTCTCCAGGTAAGTAGTTACTCCCAAGGTTATTGGTCTTGAACTCCAGTCCTGCACAGACAGTTCTCAACTTAACCATAGCTCAATTTAAACTCTTCCAACTATTATTTTGTGAAGGTGATACACGTTTTGTAGAAACCATGTTTTACCCATATAACCATTCTGTTTTTTGTTTTTGACACTGTAGTCAATTAGTTACATGAGATATTCAACATTTTATTATAAAATTGGCTTTGTGTTCAGTGATTTTTGCCCAGCTAGATGAGTGTATTTGTCCTGAGTGCATTTGAGGTAGGTTAGGCCACGCTATGATGTTTGGTGGATTGGGGATATTAAATGTGTTTTTGACTTAACGATGGATCTGATCATAAATTGAGAACTATCTGCATCACATTTATTTGTTTTTTCAAGACTTAAGTCTGATCTTTTGCATCCTTACTACTACTTTAATTTCAACTTCAACTCTTCAGTACTTCCTTAGCTTCATCATTTTCTAGCCTTGTGAATTTTGGCAAGTTAATTTATTAAACTCCAACTCTAGATTTCTTTTCTCTTCAAAATGGATTATGAGGCCTATTCTGCCGTGGGTTTGAGAATTGAGTTAATGTTATTGGAAATGCTGAAACATATGCCTGCCATATTTATATTTCGTCTTTGGGAAAGTCATGATGCGTTTTTGCATAGAAAAATGAAAATGTCATGCTTGACTTTATAAGTACTTCGTAAATTTTATTTTTTCTACTTCCTTTTAGACCACATTTTCCCCCTAATTTTTAAAAAATTGTAAAATATTTGTAATAATATTTAACTATTTCAACCATTTATTTTTAAGTGTTCAGTTCAGTAACATTAAGTATATTTACATGTCATGCAGCTGTGACCACCATCCATCTCTAGAACTTTTTTTCTCTTCCCAAACTGAGACTCTGTATCAACTAAACAATAATGGCCTACTCCCTCCTCCTAGTTCCTGGCATCCACTGTTCAACTTTCTGTTTCTGTGAATTTTTTCAAGACTTAAGTCTGATCTTTTGCATCCTTACTACTACTTTAATTTCAACTTCAACTCTTCAGTACTTCCTTAGCTTCATCATTTTCTAGCCTTGTGAATTTTGGCAAGTTAATTTATTAAACTCCAACTCTAGATTTCTTTTCTCTTCAAAATGGATTATGAGGCCTATTCTGCCGTGGGTTTGAGAATTGAGTTAATGTTATTGGAAATGCTGAAACATATGCCTGCCATATTTATATTTCGTCTTTGGGAAAGTCATGATGCGTTTTTGCATAGAAAAATGAAAATGTCATGCTTGACTTTATAAGTACTTCGTAAATTTTATTTTTTCTACTTCCTTTTAGACCACATTTTCCCCCTAATTTTTAAAAAATTGTAAAATATTTGTAATAATATTTAACTATTTCAACCATTTATTTTTAAGTGTTCAGTTCAGTAACATTAAGTATATTTACATGTCATGCAGCTGTGACCACCATCCATCTCTAGAACTTTTTTTCTCTTCCCAAACTGAGACTCTGTATCAACTAAACAATAATGGCCTACTCCCTCCTCCTAGTTCCTGGCATCCACTGTTCAACTTTCTGTTTCTGTGAATTTATTCTTAGGTACTTTATATAAATGGAATCTTAAATATTAAACTTGTCCTTTTGTGAATGACTTATTTTGTTTAGCATAATGCCTTCAGGATTCATCCATGTTATAGCATGTATCAGAATTCTTTCTTTTTTATGACTGAATAACATTTTACTGTATGTATTTCCCACATTTTGTTTATCCATCATCTGTCGTGGACATTTGGGTTGTTTCTATCTTTTGGTTATTGTGAATACTGCTATGAACACAGGTTTACAAATACCTGTTTAAATTTCTGCTTTTTATTTCTAATTATTTTCTTTAACAAATTATTTTATCGAACTTTATTTTATATATTTATCTATTTTTAATTAGAGAGGGAAGTGAGAGAGAGAGAAAGAAAGCAAGTTGCCAGGTCTGGGACTCGAATTGCAGTTGGCCATGTGGGAGTTCAGAGCCCCCAACCACCATTCCACCTGCCAGCCCCAGGGTAATTTTTTTTTTTTTAAGATTTTTGCGGGAGACCAGCAGGTGGCATGGTGGTTAAGGTACTGGACACTCCCACATGGCCTACGATGGTTCGAGTGTCGGACCTGGTGGCTAGCTTTCTCACCCTCTCTCTCTTTTTCTCTGTGTGTCTCTCTTTGGTCAAATTAAAATAAATGAATGAATAAATAAAATAATTCTTTTAAAAAAAGAGAGAGAGATTTTTTGCTATAGGACATTTCTGCTCACCGGAGAGACAGACTGAAAGAGAGAAATCACCCCCTAGGAGGGATGGCCACGCAGTAGTCCCTTCTCCATTCTCCTCTTGGAATTTTTAGCACATACACATGTGCCCAGAATGAGTTTAGCCACAATCAACTACATGGGAGTCCAATGATGCAACCATTATGCCATGTGCTCGTCCCTCATAGGATAATTTTATTTCTAATTGTTTGAGGAACTGCCATACTGTTTTACATTCAGCTGCACATTTTCCATTCCCACAAACTATGCGCAATAATTCTGATTTCTCCGTGTCCTTGCCAACACTTACTTGTTTTTTATTTGACAATAGTCATATAAATGGTTATGAAGTGTCATTTCTTTTGATTTTGATTTGTATTTCTCTAATGATTGATGATATTGAGCATCTTTTTGTGTACATGCTGTTCACTTGTATGTATTCTTTGGTGAAATGTCTTTTAAGGCCATTTGTGGATTTCTCTCTCTCTCTCTCTCTCGCTCTCGCTCTTTTTTTTTTTTTTTTTTGCCACAGGGTGTTTGCGCTAGCCAGAGACACACAGAGAGAGGGAAAGTGAGAAATCATCCATCCCCAGAGGGGATGGCCACATCACAGTCCTTTCTCCTGCCGTCCCCTCTCAGGATATTGGGTGGTGCATATACACGCAAATGTATTTAAGCTTCCAAGGTGGGGCTCAGATTGCTGTTGTCCATGTGGTATGTTAATCAGCACCTTAATCACCATGCCACCTGCTGGGCCCTTCTTCTTTCTTTTTTTTTTAATTGTCAGAAGGCATGAGGTTTCCACAGGGAGAAAGCACCCTCTAGTTGGGCATGGTCATCCTGCAGTCTCTTTTTTTTCTTTTTTTTTTTTTGAGAGGTTTTCTTTCTTTCTTTCTTTTTTGGAGAGGTTTTTGCTATAGGGCGCATGCGCTCGCCAGAGAGACAGAGAGACAGACAGTGAGAAATCACCCCCTGGGGCGATGGCCACTTCGTAATCCGTTCTCCTCCATTCTCCTCTCGAGATCTTGGGCAAGCACGTACACGCGCCTGATGTGAGTTTTAAGCCACTGGGTCCGGGATGCAAACTGGGTCGACTACATGGGAGTCAAGCAACATAGCCATTACGCTAACTGCTGGTCCCAAGAGGTTTTTGATATAGGGGACATGCGCTTGCCATAAAGAGACAAAGCAAGAAATCACCTCCCAGGTGGGAGGTCACAGTCTTGCCACAGTCCCTTCTCTTCCATACTCCTCTCAGGATCTTGGGCATGCACGCAAACACACCTGGCATGAGTGAAAGCCACCAGATCCGGGACTCAAACCATGGTTGACTACATGGGAGTCCAGTGACATAGCTATTACGCCATCTGCAGGTCCCCCTGCAGTCTCTTTTCCTTTTCTCCATCTTATTGGGATTTGGGGCATTCATGCATACTCACCCAGCACGTTTTTTAAGCTGTTGGAACTAGGACTTGAATCACATAGGCAGGTATGTGTGATCTAGCTCCCTTAATCACTAGGTCATAGATCCAGATCAAGAGCTTAAAATTTTGCTTAAGTTTAATTTTGTCTTTTTTTTTTTTTTTTGAGAGTTTTCTTGCTATAGGGTGCGTTCGTTTGCCAGAGAGACAGAGTGACAAGAGACAGAAAGCAAGAAATCAACCCCCAGAAGGGATGGCCGTGCAACAGTCCCTTCTCCATTCTCCTCTTGGGATCTTGGGCACACACGCATCCACACCCAGCTTGAGTTTAAACCACTAGGTGCAGGACCTGAACTTGGTCGACTACATGAGAGTCCAGCGACATAGCCATTACACTAACTGCTCACCCCAAATTTTACCTATTTTTATCTTGTGTTAACTGTTCTTTTGGTGTCGTATCCAAGAAGTCATTACCCGATTGGTCCTATTGACGTTATGTTTTATATTCTTTCTCGTGACAGCGAATAGACATGGGTCGGTTCAACCTTATTGGCCTGGAGGGTCGTGTCTCTCGATATGAGGCTGACACATTTCTGCCCCGGCACCGCCTGTCTCGCCGGGTACTGCTGGAGGTGGCTACTGCTCCTGACCCCCCACCCCGGCCTAAGCCAGTCAAGATGAAGGTCAACAGGTACCAGGACTAAGAAATAAAGGGATACATTCCTAGTAAGAATAGTTATATCTGGCTGGGAAGGGGTCAGTGGAATTGAAAGAGTTGGACTCCAGGCTATACATTTTTTATGAGTGTGAAGTGCTATGGAGGGACTGGGAGAAGGGAATAACTAAAAGAGGGCCCTGGGAGGGGCTCCTGTATATGTTGTATTCCTCCCCTACCTCTTCTCTCTGGTACTCTCCAATTATCTCGAATTTCATTCCCTCTTTATCTTTTGGGTTCTCCAACCCCCCTGCCCAATTCGTTTTTCTCATCTCTTTCTACTTATCTTTCTTCTTTATTTCTTTTGCAACTGTTTATTTTGCTTTCTTCTCATTGATCCTCTTGATCTTTTCCTCATAGGATGCTGCAGCCAGTGCCCAAGCAAGAAGGCCGGACAGTGGTGGTGGTGAATAGCCCACGGACGCCCCTGGGCCCTGTTTCAATTCGACCCCCTCCAGTCCCTGATCTTTCATCCCAGCTTACCCCTGGCCCAACCCCTCCAGTGCTGCCTTCACCCCTGATGGTGTCAGCCTCGCCCACTGGGCCCCCACTTATTCCTACTTCTCGCCCCACTGGCCCTGTTCTTTTGTCTCCACTGCAACCGAACAGTAGTCCTCTCCCCCAGGGTAAGTTGAAAGGGAGCCAGACATGATGAGTGGTACTACTTTCACACTGGGGAAGACATAATGAAATTAAAGGGTTTGAGAACCTGGTTTGGGAATAGGGATGTGGTGCTTGCTGGGCTAGAAGGGAATATGGAAGCTATTTGGAGCAGGCCAAGGTTTTATTCAGGTATCATCTGATAGGTGTTTGATTTGTGTTTACAGTGTTACCATCCCCTCTGGGTATCCTGAGTGGAACTTCACGGCCTCCCACACCAACCCTGTCCCTGAAGCCAACTCCACCTGCCCCAGTTCGTCTGAGTCCAGCCCCACCCCCAGGCTCTTCTAGCCTGTTGAAGCCCCTGACAGTGCCACCAGGCTACACCTTTCCTCCTGCTACCGCCACCACTTCCTCTACCACCACAGTGACTGCTACCACCACGGCAGTGCCAGCTCCTGCTCCTACACCACAGCGCCTCATCCTATCTCCTGATATGCAGGCTCGCCTGCCCTGTAAGTTTCCAGGGCTCTGTGGTAAAGGACATGAAGTAGGAGGAATGCTTATATGCCAGGGAGTTGGAGAAGAAATGCTCAGGAACATGAGTATCAAATTCTAGGCAGTAACTTTATATTAGGTTTTTTGCAAGACATTCATAATTATGAGCCCTCGGGGAATTCACAAAGTAATATGACACATAACAGGTAAGTAGTAGTAAGCCCAGCAGTGGAAAATTATTTGGAATACAGGGTCAATATAGAGTGTCTGTTAGAGGATGTAACAGATTATTAAGCAAATAAAATGGGATTCGAAGGAGTGGTTTATCAAAAGCTCAAAGGCTGTAGGTAGAGGGTAAATTGTTAGAAGGCTTGGAGGAACTGGAAAATTTGGAGGGGGGGGTTTCTGTTAAGTGTTGAACAGGTGAGCCCTGTGTATAATAAGACCTTTTCTCTTCGTAGCAGGTGAAGTGGTCAGCATCGGGCAGTTGGCCTCACTGGCACAACGTCCAGTGGCTAGTGCAGGGGGAAGCAAACCTCTCACCTTCCAAATCCAGGGCAACAAGCTGACTTTGACTGGTGCCCAGGTGCGCCAGCTTGCTATGGGGCAGCCCCGCCCGCTGCAAAGTAGGTAAAACCCATCCCCTGTCCTGCCTTTTTCCTCTCCCTGTTTCCGTGTTTTCGTGGCTCTTTTTAGATGTCAGCCTTTATGTTTCTTCACCTAGCTTTTGGTGGGTAGGGCCAGGGAGGATGGTTGGAAAAGGTCTTTTGGCAAAGATAGGGAAGAGATCATTCTAGGGAAGTTACTCCCTTTCTGTTCTTTTTCTCTCCTTTTGACCTTGCCTCTGGCCTCCTCCGGCTCATAGCTGCTTCTCTCTCTCTTTCTTTTCCCTTAACCCAGGGAATGTGGTGCACCTGGTGTCAGCAGGGGGGCAGCACCACCTCATCAGCCAGCCTGCCCATGTGGCCCTCATCCAGGCCGTGGCCCCGACCCCTGGCCCCACCCCTGTCTCTGTGCTGCCTTCTTCGACCCCCAGCACCACCCCTGCCCCCACTGGCCTCAGCCTTCCGCTTGCTGCTAACCAGGGTGAGGCTCCTGGCCTTCCTAATACTTAGCCCCTTGCTGGCCTTGGTCCTTCCAGGCATGCCCTGGGCTTCTGTCTGTCTGGTCTTCCTTCAGTGTTGTTTTCCATTGCCAGTATCTCCAATATCTTTCTGCTACCCTCTCCTTCCCCTGGACTTCTTCCATCCTTTGGGTCTCTTGTTTCTTTTCTACCTCCCCTCAATATAGCTTCCTCTTACAGTGCCACCGACTATGGTGAATAATACAGGCGTGGTGAAGATTGTAGTGAGACAGGCCCCTCGGGATGGACTGACTCCTGTTCCTCCGTTGGCCCCAGCACCCCGGCCTCCGAGCTCTGGGCTTCCAGCTGTGTTGACTCCACGCCCCACATTATCCTCTGGCCGGCTGCCCACACCTACTCTGGCTACAACCCGGAACCCCATACCCACGCCCACTCTGGTGAGGCCCCTTCTCAAGCTGGTCCACAGTCCTTCGCCTGAAGTCAGTGGTGAGTCCAGGTGGCTGAGGCCAGACATTTTTACTAGGAATGGAGTTGAGATGGGGTGGTTCTGAGGGTTTCTTAATCACAATCAATTTTTTTCATTATCAGTATACACTGCCTTAATTTGCAGTGGGCCCCCAAGCCCTGAGCTAATTCCAAGATAATTTCATGTGTCACGTAAGGATGGAGCTATGTTCTGAGAAATGCAATGCTAGATGGTGTCATCTTTACATGAGCATCATAGAGTGTACTTGAGCAAACCTAGATAGGATACTCTGGTATATTGCTAGGCTTTATGGTGTAGCCTTTATGCTCTTTATAGGACTACTCTTACGTATACTGTCATTGACTGAAATGTTTTGTGGTACATGACTGTCCATTTGTTGGTTATCTTGGGAGAGGAGGAAATGTCAGATGATTTGATTTCTTGAGTTTTTTTTCTTTCCTCATGAGTTTTTAATATTGTATGTGAAGACTTTCTAGGAGACAGGTGAAGGGATATGGTGGGACGGGGTTGTAGAAAGTTCAGGAAAAGAATTCTGGGGCTAATTCATCTTCTTTCTCCACAGCTTCAGCACCCGGAGCTGCTCCCTTGACCATCTCTTCTCCTCTCCATGTGCCATCCTCACTCACTGGACCAGCCTCCTCATCAGTGCCGATTCCCAGCTCCTCTCCTCTTGCCAGTCCTGTGTCCTCTACAGTCTCAGTTGCAGTGTCACCTTCACTCCCCATTTCTGTACCCACCACGTTTTCTGCCCCAACCTCAGCTCCACTCACCATCCCCATCTCTGCCCCTTTGCCTGTTTCGGCCTCTGGCCCAGCTCTGTTGACCAATGTGACTCCAACCCTGGCACCTGTTGTTTCACCGGCTCCTGGACCTCCTTCTTTGGTGCCAGCTGGAGCTTCTCCATCTGCATCAACCTTGACTTTAGGATTGGCCACAGCTCCATCCTTGTCCCCATCTCAGACATCTGGTCATCCTTTATTGTTGGCTCCCACTTCTTCACATGTTCCAGGATTGAACTCAACTGTGGCTCCAGCATGCTCACCTGTCCTAGTGCCAGCATCAGCTCTGGCCAGTCCTTTTCCGGCAGCGCCAAATCCAGCTCCAGCTCAGGCATCTCTTCTGGCTCCAGCACCTCCTGTATCTCAGGCTCTAGCCACTTCTCTGGCTCCTATGGCGGCTTCACAGGCAGCAATCCTGGCTCCTCCAGCTCCTCTGGCTCCTCTTCCAGTCCTGACACCATCTCCAAGTCCTGCTCCTGTTCTGGCTCCAGCGCAGACTCCAGTTCCAGTTATGGCTCCATCATCTACTCCAGTAAATCCTATAGCCTCAGCTTCTTCACTGCTACCAGCCCCAGCTCCTTCGTTGGCTCCATCAACTCAAACTATGGTACCAGCCCCAGTTCCGTCACCTCTCCCGAGCCCAGCTTCTACACAGGCATTGGCCTTAGCCCCAGCTTTAGCATCCACTCTTGGATGCTCAACTCCATCTCAGACACTCTCTTTGGGAACGGGGAACCCTCAGGGGCCTTTTCCAACTCAGACATTGTCATTGACTCCAGCATCATCCCTGGTACCAACTCCAGCTCAGACGCTTTCTTTGGCACCAGTACCACCACTGGGTGCAACTCAGACGCTGTCTCTGGCTCCAACACCCCCTCTGGCTCCAGCTTCTCCAATGGGCCTGACCCCAGCTCACACGCTGACTTTGGCTCCAGCATCGTCATCTGCTTCACTCCTGGCCCCAGCTTCAGTGCAAACACTGACTTTGAGCCCTGCCCCAGTTCCGGTGCCTACCCTGGGCCCAGCTCAGACACTGGCAATGGCCCCAGCCTCGACACAGGCCCCACCTTCCCAGGCATCTTCCCTTGTGGTTTCGGCATCTGGTGTTGCTCCCTTGCCTGTCACCATGGTATCTCGGCTGCCTGTCCCCAAGGATGAGCCCGAGACACTGACATTGCGCTCTGGCCCCCCCAGTCCTCCCTCCACTGCTACCTCGTTCAGTGGCCCCCGGCCTCGACGCCAGCCCCCCCCACCACCTCGTTCCCCTTTCTATCTGGTAAGTTTTATTTTTTCAAAGAGAGGAAACAGGAAATTGAGTTTCTTTGGAGTGTTAAGAGTTAACGTAACAGGCCGGCAGGTGGTGTGATGGTTAAGGGCACTAGACTCCCACATGGCCGACTATGGTTTGGGTCCCGGATCTGGTGGGTTGCTTTCTTGCTTTCTCTCTTTCTGTCCCTCTCTGGTCAAAGTAAATAAGTAAAGTTAAATAATTCTTAAAAACAAAAAAGAATAGAATAATGTCACTTTTAACTTGTCAAATTGCAAAACCAAGTGTTACAGGGACCAGCAGTTGGTGTAATGACTGTGTGGCTGGACTCCCATGTATTCAACTGTGGTTTGAGTCCTGGACCTGGTTTCTTAAACTCATGCTGGGTGCGTGTGTGTGCATGCCCAGGATCCTTAGAGGAAAATGGAGAAGGGATTGTGGCGTGGCCATTCCCCCAGGGGGCGATTTCCCACTTTCTGTCTCTCTGTCTTTCTGGCGAGTACATGTGCCCTATAGCAAAAATCTCTTAAAAAAAAAAAAAAGCCAAGTGTTACAGATCAAGTATTTGGACAAGTCTTTTCTTTGGGGATAATCCTGTGTTGTATGTTTTTCAGAGGCAACTGAGATCTGAATGTGTGTGTGTGTTTTTGTTTTTTGTTTTTGTTTCCCCAGAGGGTGTATTTGCCAGAGGGAGAGTAAACAGGAGAGCATACCCCCCAGGGTGTGTAGTCACACTGCAATCCCTTCTCCATTTCTCCATGTGTTAGGATTTGGAGCATACACGCACACAGGTCCAGCATGATTTCCAAACCACTGGAGCCAGGATTTGAACTGGTCAGCCATGTGAGAACTGACTGTCTTACCCACTAGGCTATAGGGCTGGCCTCAAATGTGTTTATTTTTTGTAAATAATTCTATATTTAATTTATTAATAATAATTTTAATTTGCTAGAAGGCACATGCACTCACCAGAGAGAGAGGAAGAGAAAGTGAGAAAGCAAGCCACTAGGTTTGGGACTTGAACCATAGTTGGCTGTGTAGAAGTCCAGTGCCTCAGTCACCATACTACCTGCTTGGCCACTTGAATGTGTTTTTATTATATTAAGTGATGTGTACAGTGTCTTTTTGTGACCAGTGTTCTCTCCAGTTCTTGCTTATTCTTTTGAGTTAAAATTGGCATGTAATTATCACAGTTTACAGATGAGGAAGCTAGCTCACTAAATGATATTTGTTCTAACAGGTGTATAAGTCATGAGAACACAAATTTATTCCATTGTTTTCTCCTTTTTCCTGCAAGAGGCAATTCTCAGAGACAATTTTCTCATTTGTCAAGACCACCACCATCATCAAATATTTTAACTTGGGACCAGCAGTTATTGTAATGGCTATGTTGCTGGACTCCCATGTAGCTGGCCACAGTTCGAGTCCTGGACCCGGTGGCTTAAACTCACGCCGGGCACTTGTGCATGCATGCCCAAGATCCCGAGAGAATGGAGGAGAAGGGATTGTGGCGTGGCCATCTCCCCAGGGGGTGATTTCTCGCTTTCTGTCTCTCTGTCTCTCTTTCTGGCGAACACACATGCCCTATAGCAAAAACCTCTCAAAAATTTTGTTTTAACTTTTAGGGGATGGATGACACCATGGAACATAGTTCTATAAAGAGCATTTGCTGGGAACCAGCAGTTAGCGTAATGGCTATGTCGCGGGACTTCCACATAGTCGACCGCCGTTCGCGTCCCAGACCCGGTGGCTTAAACTCACGCCGGGCACTTGTGCATGCATGCCCAAGATCCCGAGAGGAGAATGGAGAAGGGATTGCGGCGTGACCATCCCCCCTGGGGGGTGATTTCTCGCTTTCTGTCTCTATGTCTCTCTGTCTGTCTGGCGAGCACACGCACCCTATAGTGAAAATCTCTCCCCAAAAAAAGAGCATTTGCTTCTTTTGAGTCGTTTCTTTTTTTTTTTCCTCCATGATGATAAGTGGGCAATTAAAGGAACTCTGTTCCATTATGAGCTTTCTGGTTGTAATTTTTTTCTATATGATATATATGGTTCTATATTTGTGTAGTTATACTCATGGTTCAGTTTTATATAAGTAACTCATGAACTAGTAAGAATGGTCCAGTGGGCCTCTTTAGGCCTTCTACCTTTTTCAAGCAGTTGGCAGACCTGCTTTTTATTCTTTTCTTAAGAAGCTCTGATCTCGGGGCCGGCAAGTGGCATGGTGGTTAAAGACGCTGGACTCCCACATGGCCGACCACGGTTCAAGTCTCAGATCTGGTGGCTTGCTTTCTCACTTCCTCTCTATCTGTCTGTCTCTCTCTGATCAAACTGGAAAATAATAATGATAATAATAATAAATAAAGTTAAATAAAATAATTCTTTAAAAAAAAAAAAAAGAAGCTCTGATCTCTTCCTCCACCAGTGACATTTTTTTTTCTTGTATAGCCAGGATAATCCTGGCTTTTTGGAAGTAGAGAGTAAAGGGAAGAGCCTAGATTCTAACCTAAGAGGGGCCACCTATAGTTGGCTGAATTTTGATTGCTCTGCAAGTAGCTAGTAACTTCTTGCAACTACTTTTTTTAAAAAACAGTTTAATAAACAACACACCACACAGTTCACCCCTGTTAGGTGTATAACTCAATGACTTTTTCAGTTACCAGAGAGTTGTGCAGCCATCAACACAGTCACTTAGAACCTATTCATGGCCCTCAAAAGAAACCCTGTTGTATTCCGTAGCCATCATTCTCCAGCCCACTCATCTTTTCTAGCCTTAGGCAATCACTGATTTATTTTCTGTCTCTCAACTTAGCTATGAAGTTATATGATACAGGGTCTTTTGTGACTGACTTCTTTCACTTAATGTTTTTGAGATTCATCTGAGTTGTTGAATGTATCAGTACTTTATTTCTTTTTATTGCTGAGTGATATTTTGTTGTATATAAATGTTATTTCTACTTTTTAGCTAATACGAATAATGCTTCTGTGGACATTTCACATACAAGTTTTTGTGTGGACACTTTTTTTTCAATTTCTCTTAGGTATATGGTATATACCAAGGAGAATTGCTGGGTCATTTATTGCCACTGGTTTTTTCTTTCTTTTTTTTTTTTTAATACAGTGGCTGCACCATTTAACATTCCCAGCAGTAGGCTGTGAGGATCCCATTTTCCCCACAATTTTGCCAACACTTTTTTTTTTTTTTTTGATGTAGCCATCCTAGTGGGTGTGAAATAGTAAGTAGTATTTCATTATGGTTTTGATTTGCATTTTCCTGTTGGCTAATGTTATTGAGCGTCTTTTCATATGTATCTTCTTTGAAGAAATGTCTATTCAGATCCTTTGTCGTCTTTTTTTTTTTTTTTCCAGAGGGTGCTTGCACTTGGTGGAGACAGAGAAAGAGAAAACTCAAGAAACACCCATCCACTCTCCCAGCAAGCACCCCACACACACCATGTGGGGAATGGTTATGCCACAATGCTTTCCTCCTCTATGTCTCCTAACTTGTGAGATGTTGGGCATGCACACACATGGACCTAGCATGATTTTCAAACTGCTAGGTCTGTGACTTGAACAACATCGTCAGCTATGTGGGATCCAGCTTACATAAACATCAGGCCAAGTGCTGGCTCCTTTTGCCCTACTTATTTATTAGGTTTTTTTCTTTGTGTTTTTTTGCTATGTACACACCAGAGGACAGAGAGAAAGTCAGAAATCATTCCCCAGTGAGGGATGGCCATGCCACAATCTCTTCTCTATTTTCCTCTTGAGATTTTGGGCATACATGCATTTGTGTTTTTATCACTGGATCTGGAATTCAAACTGTGCAGTCAGCCAAGTGGGATCTAGTGCTTTAACCTCCACGCCACTTACTGGTCCTCCCTTTTTTAGATAGGTAGTTTTTTAAATTATTGAGTTATTGTAGGAGTTCATTGTTTAATTTGCTGGAGAGTGTGCATGCTTGCTGGAGAGAGGGAAAGAAGAAAGTATTCCCCATGTGGAACTGTCAGTCTACAATCCCTTCTCTTTCATCTCCGTCCTTTCAGGATTTTGGTCTTACACACATGACTGTGTGTTTCTCATGTGACTGGGTCCTAGACTTGAACTATGCAGCTGCCTTAACCACCACGTTGCAAGTTGGCCCAAGAGCCCTTTGTGTATACTGGTTACAGTTCCGTTTCAGATGTATGGCTTGGAAATATTTTCTTTCTTTGCTACTATTAAGAGCTGATCTGGGGACCAGCAGTTGGCATAATGGCTGTGTTGCTGGACTCTCATGTAGTTGACCACGGTTTGAGACCCAGACCTGGTGGGTTAAACTCACACCGGGCACATGTGCATGTGTCCTCAAGAACCCGAGAGGAGAATGGAGGAGAATGGATTGTGGTGTGGCCATCCCCCCTGGGGGGTGATTTCTCACTTTCCGTCTCTCTGTTTTTCTCTGTACTTCTGGTGATTTCACTCCCTATAGCAAAAACCTCTCCAGAAAAAGAAAAAAAGATGATCTGAATTCATTTTCCCTTCTGCTAGAATACTTTGCTTCTTCACTCAGAATACCCCAAACCAAAAGGTGAAGCTTAAGGTAGCAGTCATGAAAGATTTGGGGACCAGCAGTTAGCGTAATGGTTGTCGCTGGACTCCCATGTAGTTGACCGCGGTTCGAGTCCCAGACCCAGTGAAATAAACTCACGCCAGGTGCGTGTTCATGCATGCCCAAGATCCCGAGAAGAGAATAGAGAAGGGATTGCAGTATGGCTGTTCCCCCTGGGGGGGTGATTTCAAAGATTTGGAAGACTGCTTTTTTTCAGGACTGTTTTCTGAAGTCCAGTGTCCTTAATTTGTTTATTAACAAAATTATTGAACAACTATTTTGTGCCAGATACTGAGCTAGTTAATAGGTGGTTATATTGAACAAAGTGAGATATATTCAATAGTTCATAATATGGGGCTTAGTTTAGTGGGTACAAGACATTAATCATACAAAGGGCCAGCAAGTGGCATGGTGGGTAAGAGCACTGGACTCCCACATGACCAACTGTGAATCGAGTCCCAGACCTGGCAGCTTGCTTTCTCACTTTCTCTCTCTGTGTACCTCTCTGGGCCACTTAAAGAAAACAAATACATTAAAAAAAAAAATCATACAAATGTCGGGACCAGCAGTTAGCTTAATGGCTATGTTGCTGGACTCCCGTGTAGTCGACTGCAGTTTGCATTCAGACCTGGTGGCTTAAAACTCACGCTGGGCGCGTCTGTGTGCGTGCCCAAGATCCCGAGAGGAGAATGGAGGAGAAGGGATTGTGGTGTGGCCATCCCCCCTGGGGGGGTGATTGCTCGCTTTCTGTCTCTCTGTCTCTCTCTCTCTGTCTGGCGAGCACACTTGCCCTATAGCAAAAACCTCTTAAAAAAAATCATACAAATGTAAAGCGTAGAAAGTGCTACAATGGAGAATTAGATGGTTTTTACAGATAATGAAATGAAACACAGAGACAGAAAAAGATTGGGTCAAAGTCACACAGGTGTTCTGACTGCCAGGTTGCCCTTTCTTTCTGTCTAGGTAATGATGTCATTGGGTTTGCTGTTGTCATTCTACTTTGTTCCAGTCTGGTTCTTGGCAAAAACCTACTGGGGATTTAATTAGTTACCCCTACTAATCAGTGATTTGAGGAAGACTTCTGATTATTTTGGACCCATCATAAGATTAAGTTAGATGTTCTGTTATATAGAAAAATTCCTACAAATCACTCATCCTATAAACTTGTGAAATATCCAAATCTTGATTTTGAATATTCAGGCATTCTGCTTTAGTTGCATCTAAGGAAAGCTCAGTTTTCTCTTGCAGAGGTTATTTAACATTGTGAAAAAAATGATTCTTATTGACAGCTTGGAATACTATAAAAAGTATAGGGTATTTTTGGGTCTCAGAGTTTCTATAGATTATATTTCTATCTGAGAAGATCTATTATGTCATCTATAAGACTTTGATGTTGATTCTCGAGGATACGGATTACTTTCTCTGTGTTTTTTTTTTTCTCTTACCCATCAGGACTCTCTGGAGGAAAAGCGGAAGCGGCAGCGGTCTGAACGCCTGGAACGGATTTTCCAACTTAGTGAGGCTCATGGGGCCCTGGCACCCGTGTATGGGACTGAAGTCCTGGATTTCTGTACCCTGCCCCAACCTGTTGCCAGCCCCATCGGCCCTCGTTCTCCTGGCCCCAGCCACCCCACCTTTTGGAGTTATACCGAGGCTGCCCATCGGGCTGTACTGTTTCCCCAGCAACGACTAGACCAGCTGTCAGAAATCATTGAGAGGTTGGCAGGGCTAAGTGCTAATGGGGAGTGGGTCTTGGGGCCTCAGAGTGGATATAGTGCTTAGGGCTGGTAAAGGTGCTAATTTCTGGGGCATTTCAGAGTCCCATCTTTTACACTACTTGCCTTCTTCCTTTTACAGGTTCATCTTTGTCATGCCTCCTGTGGAGGCACCTCCCCCTTCCCTGCATGCCTGCCACCCACCTCCTTGGCTGGCCCCTCGTCAGGCAGCCTTCCAGGAGCAATTGGCCTGTGAGCTCTGGCCCAGGGCTCGTCCTTTGCACCGTATTGTGTGCAACATGCGCACCCAGTTCCCTGACTTGAGACTCATCCAGTATGATTGCGGTGAGTTCATTGGCTAGTGCAGGACCCTTGACTTTACTTTTCTTAATAGCAAGACTGTCTTATCAGAAAGATATTGTGCATACTGCATATAAGGTCTCTAGGGATTTCTATAAAACATTAGATAGCAAGGCACTAGACGGTGGTCCAGTGGTAAGATGTGATGTTGTGTGAGGCAGTCCTACATGAAAAGGTTCCTGGTTCAAATCCAAAAACTTCCCTGAATACACTGGTATGTTTGCCCATGACTGAAGGCCGGGAATTGGTTGTGACGTCAATATCTGTTTGGTGCTGTGTGTAGTATGCTCTCTGTCTCTCTGCTCAAGGAAGAGATGAAAGCATTGGACAGTTTTAGGTTATGCTTTTAGGCAAGATAGATAAATGTAGGCCTTATGATAGATTCTTAGCATTTATGAATTTGACTTTAATGAAAGTTGAAAATGTGTGCTGCTAACTTATTCAGTGATCCTTTTGTGAACATCTTTCATATTTGGCTAATCATTTGGGATACAGTAATAAGACAGTATAGCATATAGTTGTTTTTTTGTTATTTTTTTTTTTTTAAAGAGATTTTTCCTATAGATGGTGTGTGCTCGCCGGAGAGAGAAAGTGAGAAATCACTTTCTGGGGGAGATGGCCATGCCACAATCCTTTCTCCATTCTCCTCTTGGGATTTTGGGCGGGCATGCATGCACGTGTACCCAGCATGATTTTCAAGCCTCCACATCTGGGACTCAGACCACAGTCGATCATGTGGGTGTCCAACACCTTAACCACTGCACCATCTACTGACTCTAGCGTAGTTTTTAGATATATAAGATTAGGGCCTTGTCGTTAAAGGAACTGGGTCTTACATGGCCAACCACACTGTTTGAATCTTCGACCTGGCAATTTGAACATGCTGGGCCTATTGCATATATGTTTAAAATCCCAACAGATGAAGGAACAGAGAAAAGATTTTGATGTGACCACATCCCACCAGGGAATGCTTTCTCTCTGTGTCTCTGTCTCTGGCAAGCGCACATGTTCTTTGCAAAAAAAAAAAAAAAAATTTTTATGAGGATTTGTGTGTGCTAGTATAAAGATTGCACAATAAATACTAAATTCTGGTTTGAGCAAAAGCAACAGACCCTTGTGTTGGTTACAGTGCATTTGACTGCAAGAAACAGAAAACTAATTAACAGTGACTTAAACCATGAGAGCATTTATTATTATTTAATGAGAAATTCTGAGAATAGCTGGTATAATGATTAATAGTACATTCACAGACCCAAGTTCTTATCTTTCTCTGTGCCTACTGTGCTTAACATTTATCTTTTTATCCTCATGCTCTTTATGGTGATAAGACTGCTGTAAATCTAGGGAGAACACCAGTTTTCTAAACTGGAAGGAAGGAGTTGAGACAAATACTTAGTTCCAGCAAGATTTTTCTTTTCTTTTTCCCCAGCCCTCCCAGCTGACTTTGCTTCACATCTTATTGGTTCAAACTAGTCCATCCCTAGAGCAGTTGCTGACAAAGGGGAATGGCAGTGAGGAACTTTTTTAGATCAGTTGTGATTCATTTTCCTGGGGTTGTTTTGGACCTTTCTCCACTGTGTGCTAGGATTACTACCCAAGAATGACCGTTAGACAGTACTAACCAGTTTCTGCCATAAACCTGAACAGGCATTTCTTTAAAAAAGAAAAAAAGGAAGAAGATTTTGCCTGAGGGCGCATGCATTCACTGGAGAGAGAAAGAGGCAGAGGGAAATTGAAAAGTCACACCCCAGGGATATGGCCATGACACAATCCCTTCTCCATTCTCCTCCTGGGATCTTGGGCATGCAAGCACTCATGCCTGGCATGAGTTTTAAGCCACTGCGTCCAGACTTGAACTGTGGTTGGTCATGTGGGAGTCCAGGGTGACACAACTGCTATGCCATCTGCTGGCCCCCAAAAATACTTTTTTTTTTTTTTTAAGAGTTTTGCTATAAGGTGCATGCACTCACTGGAAAGACAGAGACAGAAAGCAAGAAATTATTCTGTGGGGGGTGTGGCCACACCACAATCCCTTCTCTTCCATTCTCTTCAGATTTTGAGCACGTTTGCACATTGCACATTGTACATGTGCCTGATATGAGGTGTTTTCTTTTTTTCTTTTTTTTGTTTTTTAAGAATTATTTTTTTGTTTAACTATTTATTTATTTATTTCAATTTGACCAGAGGGGGTAAGAGAGGAAGAGGGGAGAGAGAGAGAAAGTCGCCAGGTCTGGGACTCAAACCACCATCAGCCACATACGAGTCCTGCGCCCCTAACCACCATGGCACCTGGCAGCCCATGTGCCCAGTATGAGTTTCAAGCCAATGGGTCTGGTACTCAAACCGGGATAGACTCCATGGGAGTCCAGTGACATAACCATTATGCCATCTGCTGGTCCCAGGGGGAAAAAACCTTTTTATCAAAAATGTAGAAGTTATTTCTCTGATTGCAGGTTCAACATGATAACCTCTTAAGATCTTATCCAATTCTATGGTCCTGACCTGTGACCTTAAATCCTTGTCTGTAAGCTATGTTGATGTCTATCCTCTGAACCTGTTTTTGTTTCAGCTAATATATCTGTAGTAATATTTAAAGATCTTGTGCTCATAAGTGATGGAGGATTTTGTTCTTCCTCTCTGATGGTCCTTATTACCCCAGTTAGACTTAGAAGTTAGATCCTAGACAGAAGCAGACTAAAGAGTGAAGAAAACGTATAGAGTTGAAATTTTTTGTATTTAAATTTTTTTTAAAGAATTATTTTATTTAACTTTATCTATTTTAATTTGATCAGAGAGGGGCAGAGAGAGAGAGAGAGAGAATGTGAGAAAACAATCCCGCCAAGTCTGGGACTTAAGACTGTAGTCAGCCATATGGGCATCCAGAGTTCTTAACTACCACGCCACCTGCCAGCCCCCATGCTTAAATATTTTTGGTCCCTTTCATGAACTGAATCCTTTGCCTAAAGCCTTAGTTATCTTTTCAACCTCAGCTTTTCAGTGCTAAGTGTTTTTTTCATTCCAGCTTATAGCTAGCTCCCTGTACCCCTTGCTGTCTCTTCAGGGAAGTTGCAAACATTGGCAGTGCTGTTGCGACAGCTAAAGGCAGAGGGCCACCGGGTGCTCATCTTCACACAGATGACCCGAATGCTGGATATATTGGAGCAGTTTCTCACCTACCATGGCCACCTCTACTTACGTCTGGATGGGTCTACTAGAGTTGAACAGAGACAGGTAATTCAGACATCTGCAGCTTTTAGAGGCTCACCTTACATTCTGACTCCTTTTCCCAGTCTTTGGGTTTCCAGAGAAGGTCCCACAGAACTTTAGACCTGTTTCTAGGGATAAGTCTTCCAACACTATCTTTTTTTTTCTTTCCCTTTAGGCCTTGATGGAACGGTTCAATGCAGACAAACGCATATTCTGCTTCATCCTTTCAACCCGGAGTGGGGGTGTGGGCGTGAACCTGACAGGAGCAGACACTGTTGTTTTTTATGACAGTGACTGGAATCCCACCATGGATGCTCAGGCCCAGGATCGCTGTCACCGAATTGGCCAGACCCGAGATGTTCACATCTATAGGTATTGCCTAGTCTTCCCTTATTTTCTCTTTACTGATAGGGTTTCCTTGACATAGTTAAATGTTTACACATGACCTCCATCATTCCACAGGCTTATCAGTGAACGGACAGTGGAGGAGAACATCCTGAAAAAGGCAAATCAAAAGAGAATGTTAGGAGACATGGCCATTGAAGGAGGCAACTTTACTACAGCTTATTTTAAGCAGGTATTTTAAGCAGAGTCTTTCAGACTGTGCAGAAGAGAACTGATGTGCCTGTAGGAGTTTCTCCTGCTTATTAAAGAGGGGTAGCTTTGGCTTTCACAAACCTTTTTTTTTTTTTCCCTTCTTTTTTGAGAGAGGTTTTTGCTATAGGCATATGTGCTTGCCAGAAAGACAGAGACAGAGAGACAGAAAGCAAGAAATCACCTCCCAGGGGGGATGGCCCCGCCACAGTCCCTTCTCCTCCATTCTCCTCTTGGGATCTTGGGCACACATGCACATGAGCCCAGCCTGAGTTTAAGCCACCAGGTCTGGTACTCAAACTGTGGTTGGCTACATGGGAGTCTAGCGACATAGCCGTTATGCCACATGCTGGTCCCCACAAACCTGTGTATTTAACCAGTGATACCTCCAATACTTCCAAGAGCTGTCAGCCTCACAACTGTAGGTGTAGGAAGAACATTCTTTTGGCTCTTTTCTACCCAATAGCAAACCATCCGAGAACTGTTTGATATGCCCTTGGAAGAGCCATCTGGATCATCTGTACCCTCTGCCCCTGAAGAAGAGGAAGAGACTGTGGCCAGCAAGCAGACCCATATTCTGGAGCAGGTGAAAAAAGGCCGGGCAGTCCCTAATGTAGAGTTCATGGTTACAGTATATCTTGTCTTTCATTAGTCCATTGAGCTTCTACCTTGAGTACAATAAGCCATTGATAGTTGTAAACACGTGGCTTATTGATGCACAAGATTTAGGAGAACTTTAGAATTTGGAGTCCTCAGTTCTAGGTTTGAATTCCAACAGTGCTACTTAACTATTTGTTAAGCCAAGCTATAAACTCGTTAATCCTCAGAGCCTCACTTTCTGCCTCGCTTAGTTGCTAATGAGAAGGAAGTAACTCTGAGGATTAATAATAAATGGTTTAATGGACGTTAAGTGCTTTATATATGATATAAAACACTTTTCCAGTGAATGTATCATAGAATCACTTAAGGCTTTAAAAGGGTTGATTTAATCTCAGAATCTACTAAATCATAATTTTTTGGTGTTGCGTTTGAGCATTTTTGCTTTTTCATAGTTCTCTGACTGTAAATAGATGTTGAGGAACTGTAAGTGTAGAGCATCCTGGGCATGTTTTTATCTACTGAGTTCTCCATATTGCTGAGTATTCTCTAGGAAGTATTCTGCTTTGCTTTAGTACCTTTGCTGTAAACTTTCTGGATATTCATTTGAAGGAAAGATCAGATATAGTTGGTATATTATTCTTGAGCCATCTGTGTGAAAAAGAATTTTGGGCACACATGCACATGAGCCCAGCCTGAGTTTAAGCCACCAGGTCTGGTACTCAAACTGTGGTTGGCTACATGGGAGTCTAGCGACATAGCCGTTATGCCACATGCTGGTCCCCACAAACCTGTGTATTTAACCAGTGATACCTCCAATACTTCCAAGAGCTGTCAGCCTCACAACTGTAGGTGTAGGAAGAACATTCTTTTGGCTCTTTTCTACCCAATAGCAAACCATCCGAGAACTGTTTGATATGCCCTTGGAAGAGCCATCTGGATCATCTGTACCCTCTGCCCCTGAAGAAGAGGAAGAGACTGTGGCCAGCAAGCAGACCCATATTCTGGAGCAGGTGAAAAAAGGCCGGGCAGTCCCTAATGTAGAGTTCATGGTTACAGTATATCTTGTCTTTCATTAGTCCATTGAGCTTCTACCTTGAGTACAATAAGCCATTGATAGTTGTAAACACGTGGCTTATTGATGCACAAGATTTAGGAGAACTTTAGAATTTGGAGTCCTCAGTTCTAGGTTTGAATTCCAACAGTGCTACTTAACTATTTGTTAAGCCAAGCTATAAACTCGTTAATCCTCAGAGCCTCACTTTCTGCCTCGCTTAGTTGCTAATGAGAAGGAAGTAACTCTGAGGATTAATAATAAATGGTTTAATGGACGTTAAGTGCTTTATATATGATATAAAACACTTTTCCAGTGAATGTATCATAGAATCACTTAAGGCTTTAAAAGGGTTGATTTAATCTCAGAATCTACTAAATCATAATTTTTTGGTGTTGCGTTTGAGCATTTTTGCTTTTTCATAGTTCTCTGACTGTAAATAGATGTTGAGGAACTGTAAGTGTAGAGCATCCTGGGCATGTTTTTATCTACTGAGTTCTCCATATTGCTGAGTATTCTCTAGGAAGTATTCTGCTTTGCTTTAGTACCTTTGCTGTAAACTTTCTGGATATTCATTTGAAGGAAAGATCAGATATAGTTGGTATATTATTCTTGAGCCATCTGTGTGAAAAAGAATTTTTTGAAATACTTTTTTATTTTTGAGAGATTTTTGCTGTAGGGTATGTGCACTTGCCAGAGACAGAAAGTGAGAAATCATCCCTTGGGGGGATGGCCATGCTGCAATCCCTTCTCCATTCTTCTCTCAGGATCTTAGACAGGCGCACAGTGTGAGTTTTAAACCTGGTTCCTGAAATACAGATCTTTCTGTTTTTTTATTTGTTTTTTAATAAACAATAAAACTCTTAAGACTAACTAAATTACAGTTGTATGATTCTTTAAGTCTTTGTGTGTGTGTGTGTGTGTGTGTGTGTGTGTTTATACACCTTTACAGGCATTGTGTCGGGCAGAAGATGAAGAGGATATCCGTGCCGCCACCCAAGCCAAGGCCGAACAGGTGGCTGAACTTGCAGAATTTAATGAGAATGATGGGTTTCTTGCTGGTGAAGGAGAAGAGGCTGGTCGGCCTGGGGCTGAAGATGAGGAGATGTCCCGGGCTGAGCAAGAAATTGCTGCCCTCGTAGAACAGGTCAGTATTAAACCCAGTAGTTCATCATTTACAATTCCTTTCCTAGAATCCTTCTCCTGTCTTCCTAATACTAAATAAGGGTAATGGGATTGGGCCCTAGGTTCCTGTGTTCATCATTACTGCTTCTCCCCATAGCTGACCCCCATTGAGCGTTATGCAATGAAATTTCTGGAAGCCTCCCTGGAAGAGGTGAGCCGAGAGGAACTCAAGCAGGCAGAAGTGAGTATTTTATGAGGGTCTGGGGCTAGTAGTGGGACCTGCTAATTTCTACTCACTCCCTTCCCTGCTTACTTCCTTCTGACCCCCACTTGGGCTCTGTTGTTGATAGGAGCAAGTGGAAGCTGCCCGCAAAGATCTGGACCAAGCCAAGGACGAGGTGTTTCGCCTACCTCGAGAGGAGGAGGATGGTCCAGGGACTGGGGATGAGATTTCCTGTGGTACTAGTGGAGGCAGCCACCGGCGCAGTAAGAAGGCCAAAGCCCCTGAGAGACCTGGGACTCGTGTCAGTGAGCGTCTTCGTGGAGCCCGGGCTGAGACTCAAGGGACAAACCATACTCCTATCACATCTACCCATCATACCCGCAGCAACATCACACCTCCCCATTGTAGCCCTGCCAAGGAGAGAGTTTCCAGGCCAGCACCTAGACCTCGACCCACTACAGCTTCAGCCCCTGCTGCAATTCCTATTCCAGTCCCCGTTCCGGTCTCTGTCCCAATACCCATTTCAGCCCCAAATCCAATAACCATTCTTCCTGTTCATATCTTGCCTTCTCCCCCTCCTTTGTCTTCACAGATTCCTCCATCTTGTGCTTCTCCTGCCTGTACTCCTCCTCCTGCTTGTACTCCTCCACCAGCTCATACCCCACCACCAGCCCAAACCTCACTCTTAACTCCCTCCTCTCCTCTCTTGCTTGGTCCACCTTCTGTGCCCATCTCTTCCCCAGTCACCAACGTCCCTTTGGGCTTGGAGCCTGAAGCAAAACCTTGTGCACAAGCATTAGCATCTGTGGAGTCCCTGGATCTGGCTGCCATCACCAGTTCTGAGAGTTCCTCACTCACTCTTGTGCCCCCTAAGGATCCATCGCCAGTTGCTGTTGAGATTCTGCCAGTGTCAGAAAAGAATCTCTCTCTTACTCCTTCTGCACCTAGCCCAACCTTGGAGGCTAGCAGTGTCCCCAGTGGTCAAGAACAGGAGATACCAAATCCTGCTGAGGGGACCATCACAGTGCTGCCTGATGGTGAGGAGTTGCCTATGTGTCTTAGTGAGAGCAATGGACTGGAGGTTCCACCCCCAGTAGCGTTTGATGAGCCACTTCAGGAGCCTTCACAGGCTGGTAGGAATGCAGAAGAGCCAGTGGAGACCCATACCCCAATATCCAGCCCAGAGAAGCCACAGGAACTGACTACAGCTGAGGTCACAGCCCCATCAGCCTCCTCTTCAGCGACTTCATCACCTGAGGGTCCTTCACCTGCTCGGCCCCCTCGGCGTCGTACCAGTGCTGATGTAGAAATTAGGGGTCAGGGCACTGGTCGGCCAGGGCAACCGCCAGGCCCCAAAGTGCTTCGCAAGCTGCCAGGCCGGCTAGTAACTGTGGTAGAGGAAAAGGAGTTGGTGAGGCGGCGGCGACAACAGCGGGGAACTGCCAGCACCCTAGTGCCTGGGGTCTCTGAGACCAGTGCCAGCCCAGGAAGCCCATCTGCTCGCAGCATGTCAGGGCCTGAATCCTCATCTCCTACCAGTGGGCCTTGCGAAGCTGCTCCCCCGTCCTCACAGCCCACCCCAACCCAGCAACCCTTCATAGCTCGTCGTCGCATTGAGCTGGGGGTGACTGGTGGGACCAGCCCAGAGAATGGAGAAGGGGCATTGCTTGCAATCACTCCTCCTGCTGTGAAGCGTCGGAGGGGGAGGCCCCCCAAGAAGAACAGATCTCCAGCGGATGTTGGGAGAGGCGTGGATGAGGCACCCTCATGCACTTCTAAGGGGAAAACCAATGGGGCTGATCCAGTCCCTGGGGCTGAGACCCTAATTGTTGCGGAGCCTGTCCTGGGATCCCAGCTTCTTATTGGGCCCCAGACTCCTGGACCCCAGCCAGTTCACAGACCTGAGCCCATCATGCTGTCACCTGTGGAGAAAAGAAGGCGTGGGCGACCCCCTAAGGCACGAGATTTGCCCATCCCTGGGACCATTTCTTCTCCAGGGGATGGCAACTTAGAGAACCGGACGCAGTCACTCCCGCCACCACCGCCGCCGCCGCCACCACCACCACCACCACCACCACCCCCACCCCCACCACTGCTAGCCTGTCCCACCTCTACTGTCGCCAACACTGTCACCACTGTCACCATTTCGACATCCCCACCCAAGCGGAAGCGAGGCCGGCCTCCCAAGAATCCACCATCACCTCGACCCAGCCAGCTTCCTGTCTTGGACCGTGACAGCTCTTCCATTCTTGAGAGCTGTGGATTGGGGAGGCGGAAGCAACCCCAGGGCCAGGGGGAGAGTGAGGGTAGTTCTTCTGATGAGGATGGAAGTCGCCCCCTCACCCGCCTGCCCCGCCTACGGCTTGAAGCAGAGGGAATACGGGGACGAAAGAGTGAAGGGTCCATGGTAGTAGCTGTAATTCAGGATGATCTGGATTTAGCAGATAGTGGGCCAGTTGGGTTAGACTTAACACCACCTGTGGTCTCATTGGCCCCAAAACTGCGCTCAACCCGGCTGCGTCCAGGGTCTCTAGTCCCCCCACTAGAGACTGAGAAGGTGCCTCGAAAACGGGCAGGGGCCCCAATTGGTGGGGGCCCTGGGCTGGCAAAGCGGGGTCGCCTACAGCCCCCAAGTCCCCTGGAGCCTGAGGGTTCAATAGAGGAGTCTGAGGCTGAGGTCTCAGGCGAGGAGGAGGAAGGGGAAGGGATCCCACGCCGCCGGCCTGGCCCCCGCAGGCTTGTTGGGACCACCAACCAGGGGGACCAGCGCATCCTGCGTAGCAGTGCCCCTCCCCACCTGGCCGCTCCTACCATTAGTCACAGAGGCCGCAAGGCCAAGACGTGAGTGGGCTGCCCCTCCATTTAGGCTTTCCACCATGGCCACTCTCCCTCCATGACCAGGCCTGACTCTGTTAACCACTACTTGAAGTCTTTTGAGGGGGAAAGCCTCCAGGGAGACATAGGGGCCTTCCCTCTTCTTTCCACCAAAGTAGGGGGTAGGCAACTGGTTATCATGGAAATGGGGCTTATCACAATCCTCCTTCCCTACCACCCCACATGGCTGGGCAGTGTTAAGGGTGGCAAGATAGTCTGTCCCCACCCCCTTGTACTTGATACCCCAACTATCTTTCACCCCCCCACACCTTTAGGGGAATGGGGAGGGGCTTCTTTACAATGAGTTTTTTTTTTTTTTTCTTTTTTTTTAAGAAGAAAAAATAATAAACTTAGTTTCTGTATGAGCATCCGCGTAAGGAGGCTTCTGATTTCCTGGTCTCGTGGAGGGTTGGGTGGGAACTTGGGCATCATTTTCTCCTCTTGCTTTTGCAAAGACCCTAGTACCTGATCTTTAGCCCAGGATTATATACCTATGGGACTGAAAGTTCCACCTAAGAGGAGGAAAGATTGGCAAGTCTGCTATCTGGGTAGGGTGTCTTTCCGTTCACTCAAGACATACTTTTCCTCTCCCTTTTCCCTTAGTTCCTGTGTTTTCCCTCAGAATTCCCTCTGATGCTTCAGTTTTCCCTTTTATACCTCTTGCTCAGGTGCTTCCTTTCACTCCTTTTTCCAGAAGACAGGCATCCTTCCTCCGGTTGCCCAGTTGCGCCATCTCATGGCCCTCCCCTGCTCTCCTTCATGTAGCCAAACTGGTTTGAGTCAACCACACCCCCTTCCTAGCTCCTGGGGCTCTTCAGGTGGTGGCTGGCCACTCAACCCCACCCCTGGGCTTGGCTTGGAGCCCTGAGTCAACCCCATCTCCACCCAAGCCAGATCAAACCCAAGGCAGGAGCCGAAACTCACAATCCCTCAAGGCCTATAGCCAGGTAAGAGCCTCTGCTCATTTTTACACTTTCTGACCTCAGTTCCCTGAGCCCTCTAGTGTTTTCTTTCCCTGCTATGTTTACCTTAGAGTTCTTTCCTCACACCTTCTCTTCTGCAGCTCTGTATCATACATCATTCTTTGCTCTCTGCCTGTTTTATGTCTTTCACTGTTTTTATTTGTGTTCAGGGAACTACAGGTATGTTTCTTTTGGCTATATATAAGGGAATAGTTGGAGATAAGGGTGGAAAAGTGACTTGATGCCAGAGCTTACAGGCCCTGAGAAATAGGAAGATGAGGAATGATTAAGTAGTCCATTATTATGCAGGTTTCTGTGTGGGTAATGAGGTCATTCAGACTCCAGTTGATCTGTTAGTGTTGCATGCTTTGGGTTGAAATGGAGAGAGGTGGCAAGAAGGCAACAGAATGGCAAGGGAGGCCTTGACTAAACTAATACTCGATGTCTTCAGCTCAAGAAGAGTGTAGATGATTACGTTCTTTCCTTCATACCCAGACTGTGTTTATGTGAAATGGCTGTTTTGCCTAAAATGAGGTGCAGCATCTAGGATTCTGGTCTCTGACCCCATAATACGTAGGCAGCCTCTGGGGAATTTCAGGGAACTTGAGGGCTCTTTAAAATATAGTTTAAAATAAGTTCTGATTCATAGAAACGTTTGAGATTTCTGTATTTCTCTCCTGTTTCTTGATGTGCACCTGTCATCTTGCTTTTCCCCATTATCAAAACTAGTAAAAATAATGCTGTATTCATACTGACTTGTCTTCAAAGCCTCAGACTCCTAAGCTGAGGACAAAGGATTCCAGACTTAAATTTCCTTTCCTAGTCTTATGAGTCACTAGAGGGATTCCCCAGCAAGGCAACATTCTGGAGAGCTGGGTTAGGCCATAAGCACAGAGCGAATGCTCTGAGAGGGATGAAGTCTAAGCAAGACAAGCCAAGTTGGGCTTACAAGTACCATGACTGTATCGCCCACAGGTGATGGAGGACGAGGAGAAGGCAGTGGAGAGCTTGATGAGCAACACGGAAGCTGCTAATTCTCCATCCCCCATCCGTTGCTGTTGGGTCCGCCTCCGCTACTTGGCAGCTACTAGCATTATCTGTGGCTGCTCTTGCCTGGGAGTCATGGCTCTTGTGTTTGCTGTCAAGGTGAGGAATGCAATTCTATGGGAACAAGGTGGGTGGGCATAAGGCAATGGTTTCATGTATTGGATCTATCTAAATAATGAATTACCTATCAATGTCTTGCTGGCGCTGGGCCTACTTCCAGAAATAAGACACGGTTCTTGTCATCAAAGGATCTGTAGTCTAATAAAAGATACAGTGGTGAAAATGGATAATTATCAATAGACTGCAGCTCATTAGTGCCATAATAGAAGAAGCACAAGGCACTCTGGGAGTCAGGGAATATTTATGTGATTATGTGTGGAGTGGGTGACTAGAAAGGTATCCTAGGGAAGGTGACATGAAAGGTAACCCCTTCCTGGTAAAAAGAGCAGTGGGTACAGAAGCTTGGACTGTTAGTTCACTGTGGCTGGACTAAGGATCCAGATTCCTGAGGGCTGCCAAATCTATGCTTAGGAGTTGTTATATTTTATCTTGAAAGTGCTGGGAAACCATTGAAGGGTTTTTGCAAGGGAGAGTGACATGGTTAGATTTGTATTTTTTGTTTGTTTTTAAGAGAAAAAGAGATTTTTGCTATAGGGTGTGTGCACTCACTAGAGGGATAGAAACAGAGAAAGTGAGAAATCACCCCAGCAGGGGGATGGCCATGCCACAATCCCTTCTCCATTCTCCTCTCGGGATTTTGGACACTCACATGCACCCAGCATGAGTTTCAGGCCACAGGGTCTGCAACTCTAACCAGTCAGCCACTTGGAAGTTCACCTTAACCATTACGCCACCTGCTGGCCCCCTTATTTACTTATTTATTTTAGAAAGTTTTGTTATAAGGTGAGTGTAGTCACCGGAGAGACAGAGAAAGAAAAGAAATTACCCCCCATGGGAATGGCCACACTGCAGTCACTTCTCCATTCTCCTCTTAGAATTTTGGAAATGCACGCACACATGCCTGGCATGAGTTTCAAACTGGGACTCTCAACAGTGGTTGGCCATGTGGGAGTCCAGTGCCTTAACCACTGTATCATCTGCTGGCCCCAGATTTATATGTCAAAAAGATCTCCTCTCAATGCCTACGTAGAGGGTGAAATGGAGGGGGCAAGACTGATGGCAGCAATTTTTGAGAGCAGAAAAAGCATGGGGGTCTTTGATAGGACTTCATTGTTTTAAAAAAAACTAACAGAAACTGCACATGTATCTTTTTGTAAGTCTATGCAGGCTAACTTAAATTGTCTGGAATTTTCTCAACCCTTGATATATTTTAACAATCAGAAACTGTTCTATCACCATAAGAATTTCTGAGTTTCATTAGGGCAGAAATTCTGAAAAGGATCCTTAATGTTACAAAAAAGATGAGGCCCACTTTATAACTGTTCTACCTAGAGAAAGAAAATAAAATTATTTAAATCGGGGAAAAATGAGGCCCATTGGGTTATGAGGATAGGGTGTTTGACTAGATATGAGTGAAATACTCCAAGCTCACACTGTTTCTTACCAAGAATTCCAAATTCTGCATGACTCTGGGCTGAGTAGAAAACAGTGGGGGTTAAAAGGATTGGAAAGTACTTTCCCATATAATCTTATGAGCTGTGACCACCCTGAGAAGTGGGCAGGATAGAGATGGTTTTAGTATTTTTCAGGTGAGACATGACATAGAAACTGGAAAAGGAGTAGAGGATTTGGGTGTGAAGTTTTGAGTTGTGACAGGGATGGGGAAATGGAGTGGGCACTTTGGGGCAGAAGTAAGGGGAGAACCTAACCAAGAACCTGCCCCTACAGGCGGAAGAGCTTATAAGGCAGGCCGTTTCCAGGAGGCAGTGCACTGGGGGTCCCGGGCCCGGAGGCTCATCCTGGCCAGCTTTGCTGTCTGGTTGTCTGTCCTTGTTCTGGGCCCCCTGCTGCTGTGGCTGCTCTCCTACGCCATCGCTCAGGCTGAGTGACTCTGGGTGGCCTCTGCTGAGAGTCAGCTAAGACCTGGATCCTACAATGCGGCATTGCTAAGGTCTGATGACAGCAGTGATCCTTCCTGGCTGGAAGGATAGTACCTCTTTCAAGGGGCTTTGGAAGAGTTCTTCTAGTCCTTCATAAAAGAAGGACAGCAGCTGAGACTGATGAGGGGAGGTCAGCCTGCTCTGTTCTTTCAGTCCCCACTACCTGCTATCTTTCCCACCCCATCTAGGAGCCTCCACCCAGAGGAGGGGTTGAAGACCAGACCTGATCTTACTAGAATTTGTTTTGTAATAAAGACCTTTTTTAGTGGTGAAATGTTCCTGTCTAATTGTTCTTCCTCTGCTTTCCCATGGGCCCTTGGTGAGAGCCAGACTAGACATCTGAATGAAGGCAGAAGCCTACATCTCGCTTCACCTCACCTGTAAGTTCCAAAAGAAAGAAATTATTTGGGACCAGCAGTTAGCATAATGGCTACGTCGCTGGACTCCCACGTAGTCGACCTCAGTTTGAGTCCCAGACGTGTGCGTGTGTGCCCAAGATCCCGAGAGGAAAATGGAGGAGAAGGGATTTCAACGTGGCCATCCCCTGGGGAGGGGGAGGGTGGTAGGGGGGATTTCTTGCTTTCTGTCTCCAAATCTCTCAAAAAAAAAAAAAAAAATTACTTTTTTTGTGTGTGTTGTTCTTCTGGAAGTTACCTTTCTTGGAAAGATCCCAGCTTCTCCTTTATATATCAAGAGACCCTGAGGCCAGAGAAGACATAGCAGTGGGCCAGCAGGAGGCACAGACATTAAGGAGGCTGGGTCCCATGTGGCTGACTGAACGGTTCAAGTCTAGGAACCAGGGACTTGAAGAACACTCTGGGCATGTGTGCCCAAAGTCCTGAGTCTCTGGATTGTGGCGTGGCCATCCCCATTTCCCCTGTGAGGTGATTCTTCACTTTTTCTCTTTTTTTGTTTTGGAGAGTTTTTTTTTTGTTTTTGTTCTTGTTTTGCTATAGGGCGCGTGCGCTCGCCAGACAGAGACAGAGAGACAGAAAGTGAGAAATCACCCCCCCGGGGGAATGGCCATGCCACAATCCCTTCTCCATTCTCCTCTCAGGATCTTGGGCATGCACGCACATGCGCCCAACGTGAGTTTTAAGCCCACCGGATCCAGGACGCGAACCACGGTCGACTACATGGGAGTCCAGCGACATAGTCATTGTACTCACTGCTGGTCCCTCTTCAATTTTTCTCTTTGCCTCTCTCTGTCTCCGTCTCTATCTCCAGCAAGGACACATGCCCTTATAGCCAAAAAGAGTAGTAGCAGCAACAACTATTTATTGAGTACTTATTTTATTACAGGCTGTGTTCCAAATGTTTTACATTTATTTTTTCTTTCTTTTTTTTTTTTTAAATTTTTGCTAGAGGGCTTGTGCATTCACCCGAGAGAGCAAGAAAGTGAGAAAGCATCCCTCATGGGGGATGACCACATCGCAATTCTTTCTCCATCTCTCCTTTTTAAATTTTAGGATAAACGCAAATGTACCCACTGTTTTTTAAGCCACTGGGTCTAGAAATTGAGGGATCCAACTGCCTTAACTACCATGCCACTACCTGGTCCACTTTATATTTCTTAACTTCCTTTAGTCCTGGCAATAACTCAATGGTAGGTTTTTGTTTTTATTTTAATTTTTATTATTATTTTATCTTTTTTTTTTTTTTTTTTACTAACTTATTTCTTCTGTGAGCAAGAGCGATAGAGGGACAAAGAGAGTCAGAGAGACGCTTTTCCCCCCAACCGGCATAGCCATTACGCTACCTGCTGGTCCCTATTTATCTATTTTTATTTTAATTTGACCAGAGAGGGACAGAAAGAGAGAAAAGGAAAGTGAGAAAGCAAGCCACCAGGTCTGGGACTCAAACAGCGGTTGGTGAGATCAGCAGTTAGCGTAATGGCTATGTCGCTGGATTCCCATGTAGTCGACTGTGGTTCAAGTCCCAGACCCAGTGGCTTAAACTCATGCCAGGCGCATGTACTTGCATGCCCAAGATCCCAGAGGAGAATGGAGGAGAAGGGATTGCGGCGTGGCCATCCCCCCTGCGGGGGGTGATTTCAGTGCATGCGTCCTATAGCAAAAACCTCTCCAAAAAACAGTGGTTGTCCATGTTGGAGTCCAGCCCTCTTAACCACCGTACCACCTGCCAGGCCCATTGTTTTTATTTTATAGTTGAAGAAATAGGCCCAGATTTGTCCAAGATAACTCAGCTAATCAATGATAGAGCTGGGATGGAACCCAGACAGCTTGGTTCCAGAGTTATCAGAGTCAAAGGACTGAGTAACAGCAACAACCATGGAGATTTCTATTATTTTTTTAATTTCACTTTTTTTAAGTTACTATTATTAGTTTAATTTGACCAGAGAGAGAGAGGGAAAGTGAGAAAGCAAGCCATTGGGTCTGGGTCTTGAACTGCGGTTGGCCATGTGGGAATCCAGCACCCTTAACCACCATTCCAACTGCCGGCCCTGTGATTATTTATTTTAATTGCCAGAGGTGCACGTGCTTACAAGAGAGAAATTACCACTAAATAGGGTGTGGTCACACTGCAGTCCTTTTCCCTCCATTTCTCAGTCCTGTCATGCATACACACATGCCTCATGTGTTTTTCGAGCCACTGGGGCTAGGACTTGGTCCATAGTCATCCTTGTGGGTTTCAGCTCTCTATGCATAGTGCTTAACTGCCACACTAAAGAATCAGCCCAATTTGTATGATTGTTATAGAATTTTTAAACCCTTCATCTTGGGTCTCATAATCATTTTAAACATTTCAAAAGTTGTGAGTGGCTCAGCAGGTGGTGTGGAGGTTAAGGCAATTGGATTCCACCTGGCCAACTGTGCAGTTTGTCACAAACCTGGCAACTTGGGAAAAAAACACCAGGAGTGTGTGCATGTGTCCCCAAAATCCTGAGGAATTTCTGCTTACTGTCTGTCTAATAACAAATGGAATTAATTATTTTTTTTAAAAAGAGAGAGAGATTAGGGGGGAAGAAAGGGCACATGATGATGCTATTCAGTGTTCCAAAGTACTCCAGGAAGGAAAGTGAAGAGCATCCATTTGTGATTCCAGAAGTAAGAAATATGACCATGGGCAGGGACCAGAAGGTGGCATGGTGTTAAGGGCGCTGGACTACCACATGCCCGACCGCGGTTTGAGTCCTGGACCTGGTGACTTGTTTTCTCTCTCTCTCTCTCTTGTTCTGTCCCTTTCTGGTCAAATTTAAATAAAGTTAAATAAAATAATAATTAAAAAAAAAAAAAACTAACAGAGCAAAGAAATGGCAAAACCAAAACCTCATGGATATAATTTGTAACAAAACTAAGGGACATGACATTCCCTTATGCTCCAAAATATACACAAGTGGAGACAAACCACCTTTGTGGATGCAATTAACATCTGTCTGGAAGGCCCAAGATGTCTGACAGGTGTGAGGAGAGGAGAATCTCAAGAGTCAACAGGGGTTCACTAGAATCTCAAGTGACTGGAACTGGGAGAGACCTTGCCTGCTTCAACAGTGGATGAACCCAGGAGCTTACGCTAAGGTCAGCCCAATCCAGTGAATTCTCTACTTGACCCTTCCAGTATAAAGAACACAGAGAAACCTTTAATAACATACAAGAATTTAGAGAATACTGTTCCTATGAGCCCTTCTTGAAAAATCTACTAAAGAACAAGTCTCAGACAACCAAAACTGTTGACTGACATAAAAACTGGTGGTGAACATCAGTAATACCTGCAGAACTAATACTAAATAAAGTTTAAAAGGGAGAGATTATGGAATGAAATGGGTAAGTGTTTTGATAATGTAAACATAGTACAATCATTTAAAAAAAAGGGGGGCAGAGTGGAGATAGCACAGGACAATAATATTTTAAATGTTTTTCAATAATCAAAATGGATGACAGTGGTATATGCAATTGATATTCTAAGACTAGTACACTGGAGCCAACAGGTAGCATGGTGGCTAAGGCACTAAACTCCCACACGGCCAACCACAGTTCGAGTCCTGAACCCAGTGGGTTGCTTTCTAGGTATCTCTCTCTCTTCTGTCTCTCACTGGTGAGTGCACATGCCCTATAGCAAATTTAAAAATAATAATAATAATAATAATTAATAAAATTAAAAGCTATCCATCAAAGCTAAGCATACAGACCCTGCCTTTCCTATACTGTGTGAACTGTAACCAAAGATCATTTATTTACAAGGAAGCACAAAAATTATTACAGCTACTAAATGAAAACAAAATTAAATACTGCAATTTTGTTCTTCTGAAATCCTGAAGGATTAAGGAATGTAAGCATAAAAAAACCGATTATTATGTGTGTCATGATGAAAGAACCCAACATCTACCTACAGTTGTTTTGTTTGTTTGTATGTTTGTTTTGCCTTAAGGTACGTGTGCTTGCCAGAAAGAGAGAGAGATAAGAGACAATGAAAAATCACCCCGAAGAGGGTATGGTCACACCAAAAACCCTTCTCCTCCATTCTCCTCCTGAGATCCTGGGCACACATGCCCAGAGTGAGTTTTAAGCACTAGGTCCAGGACTTGAACTGTGGTTGGCCATGTAAAAGTCCAGCAACGTAACCTCTACACCATCTGCTGGCCAGCTCACCTACAGTTATTCCAAAGGGATCCAAGCTGAGTATTATCCAGCCTCTGATTCAGTTGCCAATGTGCATAAAATAAGAGGACAGAGGAACGTGAACTGCTCTACGAGTATGCAATCAGAAAAACCCAGACTATAGGAAACGATTATAGGTCAAATTCTCCAAAACTGTAAACAGACAACTTGTAAGAAACTGAAAGGGATAATGAGGGAAACTAAAGATGAAAGGAGATTAAAATATATATTAAAGCTTTAAAACAAATGGGCAAGATTAAATTAAAATGTCTATAGATGAGCACAAGTGTTACCCAATGTGTTTTACCTTATGTCTTATTACTCATTAAGACGTTCAATTGATTACTATGAGATTCAGTGTGGTGGTCCCGTTTGGAGAGAAGGAGAGAGATATGGTTGGATCTGAGCACAGGGAAGGGCTTCTGAGGTGCAGCACAAAGTTCTAAAGCTTTTATCCTTATAGAACTCATGATACATATTTTTTCTGCATGGTTTGAAGTATTTTATTTTCCAATTAGAAAATTAAAAAAAAAAATAGTAGAAAACAATAAGCATGGACATGAACCTATTGGGTTGAGGTTCCTATGAATACTGAGGTAGAACTGCCCAGTAGGCTGTTGAATTAATCCATTTAGAGTTTAGGAGGAAGATTTTTTCGAGTGTGTGTGCTTGCATGCCCAAGATCCCATGAGAAAAAATGGAGGTGAAAGGATTCTGGCATGATCCTCCCCACTGGGAGGTGATCTCTCACTTTATGTCTC